AAGGAAAGGAAAGGAAAGGAAAGGAAAGGAAAGGAAAGGAAAGGAAAGGAAAGGAAAGGAAAGGAAAGGAAAGGAAAGGAAAGGAAAGGAAAGGAAAAACTTTAAAGTAGGGAATATTTTTCTTTTTAAGTAAGAAAATAATTAATTAAGAACTGAATAATTCAAACAGAGAACAAACATTGCCTGGCAAAGAAGAGGCTGTGAAAAGATGGTCATGGCACATTACCTTGATGTCCAAGTGAAGGATGTTGTTGTCATGAAGATATTTGAGTCCTTCCAAAATTTGCTTGATATACAATTTGACCTAAGAATCAAATTAATTAATAAATAATTATTAAACAGTAATAGTAAAGAGGAGGGTTTCTGATTCCACCTGTGTTTGTAGCATATGAGAGAGGGAGAAATTGAACCAGAAATACTTTTAAAACTGGAATTAACTTCTTTAATTAGTCTTGCAGTTGGAGTCAGATGTGAACCAGACATCACCCCGTGGAATGAAGCTGAGCCTCGTGTGTGACCCCTTTGCCCTGCTGGAACCTTCTGTATGTGAAAAAGTCCCTACTTCTTCTATTTTAAAAAAACCCACAAAAAACAATCCTATAAAGATGCAAATTAAAAAAAAAAAAGAAAAAAAAAAAGAGGGAAAAATCCTCAAGTTTGATGAACTTTATCAGCTGCCATAAGACAAACTCAGCTCTGGCTTGGTGTAAATCAGGAAAACACATTTAAAACACAAATCAGTTTTAAAACTGTGTTGTAAATCTATTTGTTGACCATATGCAGATCTAATGAGATTATGATTATGAACATTTATATCTAGATTTACATCCAGAGTCAGCTCTGGAAGTCCTTTACCTTTTTACACTTTTACCTTTACACTTTACCTTCACACTTTTATAGTGTCAATTGACATTTGATCCTTAAAGATCCCTCCCAGCCCAAACTATTCTATGATTTTTCCCTCTAAGAAAAAAAAAATCAATTTTACCCATAAATGTCGGACACTTGGCTACTAGGTGGGAGATATGAAACCTTTTGGAACTTTGAGCATCAAGGATCCAAAAAAAAAAAAAAATCTTTAGAAACCATAATTTCAGCCCTTTATTTGGGGACTGAAAGGGAGTGGATAGAATTCAGTTAGAGGGGATAAAGTGATATTAGGCAAGGGAAGATACAGGAGCTCCAGGTGACAGATAGCAAAGAAATGGTAACATTAGGGCAAATGTAATAATAATTTTTAGGCTGAATGCAATCCTGGTGGTCAAAACCACTGCCAGCTTCCAGTTACTCCCCAGAGAAGCTCAGCAGGAACACATTTGAAAAGCTGCCTGTGTTCTGACAGGTTATCACTGGTTTCAAACACTTTCCTCATATTCCCTGAGGAAAATGCAGGTGGAACCAGCTCTGGGCCCTCAAGTGAGGAAGAGGAGTTACCTCAGCTTCAGTGACCACACTCTTCTTGAACAAACGGTCCAGGAGCTCTTCACTGGAGCATCTGAGGAGGGCAGATTAAGGGAGAGCAGAACTACAGGTAAAAACTCCTTTTTGCTGTGTCAGCCACCAGCAGAATTCACCAGGTGACCTCAGCCAGTGTGATGCTCATTAAAATCTCTATTGCAGCGCCCTCCTGGCAGAACTGGGCTGCTCTAAACCTCTGCTCCTACCATCAATCTGCAGGGGGGTAGATTTTGGTATTGCTCATGCTAAAATCTACCTGTTGGCTACGGGTTTTCTGCCTTTTCCTGGTGCTCACCCAGACTGGAGCTCATGGGAAGAAAAGATTCCTTAACTTCCAGACATCTCAGAGCAGAGTTTTGATGCTTAACAACCTGTTCACACTTGGATGTACAAGGATGATTTCACCCCACAGTCCTGCAGTGAAGCTCCCACAGAGCTGTGCCACCCCGCAGTGCAGAGAAGGGCCTCAGGCAAAACCTAAAAAATGCTTCATTCCGAAGTTATTTAACAAATGGGCTCTACCCAGCACTTCCCAGCCCCCTCAGACAAGCTGCACGGGAAAAGGATACAACTCCAGCACCAAAATCAGCGTTTTCCTCGTCTCAAACTCGTCCAGGAGCCTGGTGATTCTGTCGTGGGACAGGGAGGCGAGGATGTCCCTCTCCTGGTGGGCTCGAGACTTGGTTTTGCTTCGCAGAGGGATGAATTTGGCAGCACAGGACACCCTGTTCCCTTTGTGCACAACCCGTTTCACGAAGCTGAAGCAGCCCCTGTGTGGGAACGGAAGGACAAGCCCTGCTCAGACACGGTTTAAACAGCAGTAGGCAGAGAGTTTTCCACCTCCCAGCCTTTTAGAGCTCCCCACTGCCTGGTGCTTGAATTCTCCAGCATGAAAAGCTCGTTTTCCTGTGTGTGAGGTGCTGTTGCCCTCTCCTGGCTGTCTCCGAAGCGGAGCAACGTGTCCACGTCACGGGAAAAGCTGTTTCAGGTGATGCAGGTGCTGACAAAGGCTGATGCCTGGACTTACGGGCTGTATGGACTCTCCCATCCTCTGTCAGAAACGACAGGAAAGCATTCCCAGCACACCTGCAATGGGGTGACCTCCCACTTTTCAACAGCTGGGCCCCCTCTGCCTCAGCAGCTCAGATATTCCCTGGCAGTGATGCTCCAGAGCTGGAAAATTCATTTACCTTCCAATTTCCTGCTTCACCTCATAATGGGCGTGGAGCTTTCTCCTGGTGGCCACTTTCTTTCCTTCTTGGTCTTTCTTAGCTTTGGAAATGAAGGAAAATATAAAAGGTTAATATTCAGACAGCAATGCCTTGCTGATAGTGTGCAAAGTTATCACAGGACAAGTGGGAAGAATGACTGAGGTTCTCTAAACTTCTGCAGAGAATTAAGTGGAGCTGCTTGATAAAAGAACCTTTCAATGTGAACTTTGGGGTTTCCCAGAGAAGCTGTGGCTGCCCCATCCCTGGAAGTGTCCAAGGCCAGGTTGGATGGGGCTTGGAGCAACCTGGGCTAGTGGAAGGTGTCCCTGCCCACGGCAGGGGGTTGGAATGAGATGATCTTTAAGGCTCCTTCCAGCCCAAACCATCCCAGGATTCTGTGATTTGCTTCCATACTGGATCTTGCTGTATGTAGCAACGCATGAATGCACACAAGAGTAAAGAGCTGATACCACACCGGTACCAGAACAGGCCAACACCAGATTACAACGTTGCCATGGTTGTGGAAACAACCCCTGAGCAGCTGAGGGAGTGGCATTACCTTCACGTACAACGAGCTCTGCTTTGCACAGAACCTCCCCTCCTGCATTTTTGGCAACACAGGTATAAACACCACCATCTTCCAGGGAAGCGTCGTCCACCTCCAGGAAATACGTTGTTCCTTCCCTCCCCTGGTGGACTCTGTCACTGTCTGTCAGCAACGAGGTGCCCTGAAAGAAGGAAATGACATTTTATCACTGGAAAAAGCCAAGATGGAAACAGATGTTTCCCGCTCTTCAAGAGACAAGCTGCAGGAGCAGAGCTATGACACAGACTGTCAAGGTCAGCAGATCTCACCAGCAAAATGCTGGCTGAAGAATCCTCCATGTCCCAGTGTTTATAGGAATAGAGGCTTGGGAGGGGTCACCAGTGCCACGGGGTTGATTGTTCAGCTCTCCCTGAGCAGTCAGCCCAGGGAAAACCAGGATCAGCTGCTTTGCTCCTGCCTGGTCTCCAGCTCGTGCTGGCACTTGTGGTGTTTGTAAGTCAGGTGAGGAGCAGCTGAGGGAGCTGGGGGGGGGCTCAGCCCGGAGAAAAGGAGGCTCAGGGGGGACCTTCTGGCTCTGCAACTCCCTGGCAGGAGGGGGGAGCCGGGGGTGGTCAAGCTCTGCTCCCAGGGAACAAAGGAGGTTCAGGTTGGACATCAGGAGGAATTTCTGCACAGAAGGGGTAATTAGGCACTGGAACAGACTCCCCAGGGAAGTGGTGGAGTCCCCATGCCTGGATGTGGCACTCAGTGCTCTGGTTTAGGTGACGTGGTGGTGTTTGGTCAAAGGTTGGGCTTTTCCAACCTTAAAGATTCTGTGATTCTATCTACTCTTAAATGCTACGAAGAAAGGGACAGGAGGGAGTGTGTGTGTGTGGCACAGAGGGCTGATTGTGAGCGTTTGCCAACGGTCCCTATGGCAGTAAAATACAACATAAATATATATACTACAATGCATTCATATGTGTGTATAATACAATAGATGTGAACCCTATTCCCCCCCAAAAAATGTCAGTCCCAGAGCTGTTCTTTTTTTATACTGCAGAAAACTTTAAGTTATTGTAAACCACTCCATGGCAGCACCAGCTCAGTGCTTGGTGGGAGCCAAAATACCAGATGATAGAATTATTAGGGAAGGGATAAAGGATAAGACACAAAGCATCATTTAATACACCCATGGCTTACCCATGGTTTGGTACAGCTGCATCAATGCCCTCTGGAACCCCTTCCAGATGAGGATTGACAGAGCAAGTTGGGGGTTCTTTTAACAATATGAGAAGATATGACAACAATATTCTGAGGAATGATAAATTACTTCTCTTTCCTTTCTATGGGATGTTTGTTGTCCTTGGTCACACTCACTTTAACAATTAGTGGCAGAAAAGATACAGAGCCTGGAAGTCACACTGACAATTGGAATAAACCACCCCTAATCCCATCCCCAGCCCCAAGCAACAGCACATATGTCAGTGACTCTCAGGCAGGAGCCAATCTCCCTTCCTGCTCATCTTGGTCCCAAAAAACCACCTTGATTGTCCTGTCTGAAAAAGGACCCCCAGTAACACTGGAGACAATATAGGATGAGACCCATGGATGGTGGTTCCACTGGTTCAACAAAACCCCACAGACATGATCCAAAATCAGTGTAAGAGGTGTGGGATGAAGGAGCAGAGGACATTCCCTGTGGAAGTACAGCTCTAGAGTCCATCCTGGGGTCCTCCCAGTCAGCCAGAGAAAAGTCTGCACTCACCTTAAACCACAGCACGGTGGGTGGGGGGGTTCCTTCAATGACTGCCTGGAATTTGGCACGTTCCCCAGAGTTCACCTGCACATCCTCTATTGTCACTTGCATGTAGGGAGGACCTGGTGGGACACAAGGGTTTGCTGCATGCACAACACCATAACTTTGTCCCCAGTGTGCTGATGCAGGTTGAGTTACTCCAGTGGGATTTATAGGATGGGCCATTTAGGATATAACATAGTTCACAGTCAAATCAAGAGGTGCCACTGCAATATATCTGGGTTTCTTTATATTGGCATTACTTTTAGGCTTCTTATCTTCATGGTTATCTATTATTTTTTGTTTAACCAACAGTTACCACTCAAGATATGGAACCATTTAAAAAAGCAGTCATGGGGAGTTGATCCAAAAAAAAAGACAGTAGCAACTGTGGAACGTGGGAGAGGGAAACAGGGTGTGTTCTTACTTGCTGGGGTCTTCTCCTCAGTCTTATACACACGAGTTCTTTCCGTGGTCTCAATATAAACTTCACTGTGAACATCCCAGACCACGTCTCCTTCTCTCCTGTACCAGCCTCCTGCCCCTGCCTCTGGTGAGGTTCTGTCATGAAGCCCAAGAGAAAAGATCAAGACACGGTCACAAACAGTGACAGAGGTGCAGGATTCCACCCTGCCATTGACCTGTTTAACCATCAGACAAGGAGTTATTTTACTTAGAATTAACACAAGAGGAATTTTGGTTTGGGGCAGTGAATTTCTCTCCAACTTTTTCTACCCTTCTTTGGCAAAGCACATGCCACGAAGATCCCCAAAATTATGACAAACCTACAAGGATCTTTTCAAGTCACCACCTGGTTCCTCCACAACAGAGAGCTTGATTTCCTTGCAGCAAAGTCTGCCCCTCTCAGAAATCCACACGTGTTATATCGACCTGTCGAGACGGCATTTACCTGTCGATGGGAACGCTGCGCTCCCGAGCGCTTCCACCTCCAGCAGCTGTGTCTTCCTGGGAAGGAGCAGGGCTGGGCTTTGGCACGCTCGGTTCTTCAGCTGAAACCTGCCTTTGTGCTTTGTCTGGCAGCAGAAACAGGGCAGGTTAAACAGGTCAGCACACCTGAGACCCAGAGCAAGCCTAACTCGGAGTTAGAACTGAGCCCAGCTGGGTCCAGCTGAGTGCTGGACTGAAGTTCTGAGCAGATTTTGGCCCTTTTGCAAAGACCACACGAAGCAAAGGGACTGAACATCAGAGGGACTGACTGGTGGCACGTTTGGGACTGGGAAATGCTAACTTTTCTGTAAGGAAACACAGGCAGACAGAGATGGGAAAAGCAGTCTGTAGGGACAGGGAGACACAGGACCACTGGAAAGATACTGTGGGTTCCTCCATCCTTTACAGGAGATATAATTTATCTGTGTTCAAGTTCCAGCTTGTGGCTGTGATGAAATCATAGAATCACAGAACTGTTTAGGTTGGAAAAGACCTTTTAGATCAAGTCCAACCATTAACTGCCAAGGCCAGCACCAAGCCACGTCCCCAAGTGCCACATCTGCACATCTTTTAAATATATCCAGGGAAACCCAACATCAGCTTCGTACACACAGATGTTTCAATTAAACCTTGCTGGGAGAACAGCTCTTGACTCACTGCTGTGAGTCAGCAGGTCCTGGCTGGGGATATGATTAACCTGGAGATAATATGGAGGCACGTCCTTACAGAGGACCTGGTGATACTTTAACATCAGCAACGCTGCACCTCCACTGGGTTGCTGGAAAATGTCTTCAGAGAGGTCTAAGTTACACCAGAACAAGGTTTGGCATCTGGGGCTTTATAGGAACAAGGAAAGAAAAAATCTGGTGCAGCTTGATGGCAGTTCAGGTATTTTTCAACTTTTTAAATTAATTATTTTTTTCAGATATATCTTTAAAACCTGTTTTGGTCTTCCATTCCAGAAGTACCTGACTGTCTTCAGACATTGGAATTACACCATAGGATAAAGTGCATTGTCTCCTTTTCCATTTTAGGAGAAAAAGTTAAACCAAGAGGGGTCTTCCCCCCAGCACGAAGGGCCTTTGTGGGGAGCATTTGATGGATGTTTGGCGCTGAATGGTTTTGGAAAAAAGCAGCAGTTTCTAGAAATCACATAAAACAGCTTTATGGGGATGGAAAAAGTGGTTATTCAAGACATTACTGACAGGTTGGTGAGATTGATCTTTCTTACCGCTGCCAAAATATTTACTTTCTTTTTAGTCAAAGCGCGTGATTAGAGGGACAGTTATCAAGTCTCCCTCTGATTAAAATAACTGTCCACAAAATATTTAATTTTGCTCTGTGAAAGACCTGTAAAACCATGTCATTCACTATTGTATTTCCTCTGTGGTCATGACCAAGGAAATAATCTGCTAGGTGACTTTTTACTTGAGATTTTTGAGTCATGCGGCTTCACCAGGGTATTATTGCCAAGGATGATTACCTACTAGAAAGGGGAAAAAAAAAAAGGTTTAAAACTTTAAACCCCTGTCATTTTTGATGCTGTTATTTTGGGTCTGATTCCCTGAACACCTTTTCATCCTTGTTCAGTTTTAAACAAGAATATCTTATTTTTTTTAAGCAGCATCTGGAGTTTGAGGGGTGAAGGTTACTAGACATGGTCCTGAATAAAGAACAGTTCTGATTAGACACAGAGACAGCTCAGACAGGTTGTTAGGGCAGAAGCAGAAGGAAGAGTGGAAGGGTTGTCGCTCATCCCTGATTTTTCGAAAACAATGCAAAGGCAAAGGGTTTGCTCTCCTGGCAAGACACAGTCACACATATCACTGGGTTTAGTCACACAGGAGCTGCTAAGGGCTCTGTCAAGGCTCCAGGGTCAGTGAAATGCAGCACAACTCAATGCACTCGACATCCTGTAAAATTTCTGACAGTGGATCCAGGGGTGTTAAACACATTTCTAGCTTATTTATGGCCAAAACAAAAGCAACTGCCCTCACCCACCCCACCAAACCAAACCAAACTCCAAATAACTTCTACAAACGGGATCTCATTCCACCTTCTCCCCCAAAAATACTTGAAAGCAAGACAAAGGACAAAAGCCCAAAGGTGGAAAAGATCCCCATTCCCTCCCTTTTGGGCAGGTGATAAATCAAACCCTACTTCAGATATTTTTTTTCAAACATCTCCTGTTTCTTGAAAGATCTGCCCCGTTCTTACATCCAACCTAACCCCGACCTACATCCCCACATTTCTTTGGGCCTGACTGTCCTCTCTTATTCTTCATCTGCTCAAACACGTTAAAACAGAAAAAATGAGGTGAAAAATATCTTTGCTGGCACGTTCAGTGTTTCTCTCTCTCTTGAGTCCCACGGGACGTGTCCCAGATCCCTGCCCAACCTACCATGGCCTCCAGGAGCCTGGGTTTGGGTACTGGCTTCGTGAACCAGCACAGAGGGCACAGCTGCTGCTTCCGAGTGGTCTGGAGGGACAGACCCAGGAAGGCCAAGGCCACCTTCTCCTCTCACGCCCAGGGGAAGAGTCACCAGCATTGAGGCCGAGTCCATGAGTCTCCTCAGGGCTGTCTTGATCTCCTTATCAGCACGTTGGAGTGAGGCCTGGACAGAAGTCTCCATCCTTGACTGTGGGGGAGTCATTCCTACAGGCAAGAACAACAGCTTTTCTCTCTTAAGGGCAACAAGGAAATAGCAGCATCACCCAACCCACGGGAATCTTTGCAGTTGTGTGGTTTTACTCTCCCAGAGCAGAGAGTTGGTGTGGAAAAGCTCATTCCAGCAAGAGGGAATGTGGCTAAGACTTGGAATAAGAAGGTTGGCACAGTATGATTTGGAAAGAGGTGTCCCCCCAGGCTGAGGACACTGTGCCACACTGGGTGCACATGTGGGGTCTCCACCAGGATCCATCTCCTGACTCAACCCTATGTTGGCTGGTCAAAAATACTTTTATTAACCTTAGAATACTCCGAGCTGGCAGGGACCCACAAGGATCACCAAAATCCGACTCCTGGCCCCGCACAGGACAATCCCAACAATCCCATCCTGTCCCTGAGAGCGTTGTCTCAACCCTCCTGGAGCTCTGGCAGCCTTGGGGCTGTGCCCACTGCCCTGGGGAGCCTGTTCAGAGCCAACCACCCTCTGGGGGAGGAACTAATCACTGGTTATGACCCAGGACACGAACCCATTGCACTGATACAGATCCTACGTGCCAGGAGGACGTTGTCCTCACAGGAAAGAAGGAGGGAGAAGGCACCAGTGTCATCAGTGACTCTGGAGAAGGACAGGGGAAAGAAGAAAAGGTTTTTCTGCTTCATGATGGGACAGCAGGAAAGCTCCTCTTTGCTCCTGGGTGACATGTTTGTGCTGCTTTACCATTTCTGAATAGTTTTGCTGGGCTTTGCTGCAGAAGGTACCTGAGACTTTGAAGTTTGTTCTCAGCTATTGCCTTTGCAAGATAACCCAGAAGGGAAGTCACCTGGTCTGCACAGCCCTGCCCAGCAGTGGTGCAGAGGAGAACATCACACAGGGCAAGAGGTAACTCCTGCCTCAAAAAAAATCAGTTTTGAAGGCAGAGAGAAGACCAAAAGCTTCAAACACCAAAAAGTGAACTTCCAAAGCACAAATTTTGGCAGAATGGCCACCCAGGAGACAAATACCATGGTTTCACTCCCACTCAGGGATGGTAGAAGCAGCTACTCTAGGATGAGATCACAGGAGCTCAGTTCTTCTTCTCATCAATTTACTGCCCAATGAACCTTCCACAAATCTTGAAGGGGTACAACAAAGGGACAGGTGATGTTTAGGGAAGCCCTCGAGTAACCCATCAAGGCAGGCAAAATGCATGTCAGACTCAGAGAAATCATCATGTTCATGATGTGATTGCTCACCAAGCAAGGGAGAAAACTCAAACCATAGTGTGGTTCAAGAAAAAATAAGAGCACTTGGAACAAAGAGCTCTGACCTGTTTTGATGTCATTGACACAGGAGCATGCCCTGTATCTGTTTAGACTCAGCTCCTTTCCCACCCTTAAGGAAGAAGATTCCCATGATAGGCCTTAGCAGGTCAAGTTTGGATCAGCCCCCTTTGAAGACACCTCACTTGTTTTTTGTTTTCAATGATCACAGTGATTATGAAATATTTGTTTTTGTTTTTGGGATTTTTTGATGAAAAAAGCAAGTTTTGCTCACTGGGTGCCCCAGACTGACCCTCAGTGTTGGTCAGCACTGGGCTGGGTGGAAGATTTTAAGCATTTTCCTGCAGAACTATTTTGATTCCCCGGTGTTCCTGTTGTGATTGCTGTCAGCTGGTGCTGAGCTGTGAGCTGGGCAGCTGCCAACAAGGGATGTGTTTGGAAAGGTATGAAACACCCAGGAGCTCTCAGTGAGGAAATAGATAGAGATACAGAGGTTCTATAAAATCACAGGTCTCCTCCATGCTGCTGAAACCATCACTTTCCTCCCTGTGCAGGGTTGTTTCACCACTTTCTTCCTCCTTCAGGACACTGTGATTCAAGCTGCTGACCTGAGGAACTTCGATATCCACCAAGGGGATGACACAGCTGTGGTGGACAAAAATTCCCAACTCTAAAATCCCACCCTTCAGCCCACAGCCAGGGAAGTGTGTGGAGGCTGACACGTGTTTTGAAGTTCCAGTTCAGCCTCAGAGAGAAGGACCCAAGAGAGGATGAACATCATTCCAGATTATTGACCCACAGGTCTGAGCGGGAAATATCCCTAAAAAACCAGATCCTTTCACTTCAACAGTTCTGAAACTTTCTATGAAAAAGGAGCCAGGGCCCAACTGAATTATTGATCCTGGGCCATGATCCAGCTCTTGCTGAAGTCAAGGGGAGAAGAGGATGAGCTGATGGAATATCAAGTGCCAGAACAAAGAACACAGAAATCCAAAGAGTTCAGTGTCAGCTGATGCAAGACATTTATTGATATAAACTCAGCATCTAACAGCGTATCTTGCATTGGATTTTTTTCTTGGTGTGTGCCTTTTTTTTTTGTACCTCAAGCAAACTGAAGTTTCCACTTTATTAATAACCCATTTACCTGCAGGAATTTTAGTAAAACATCCACTGTATTAAAATCTTTCATACAGCTGCATGTTTTAATCTACAAGAAATAAATCCCTACACGTCTCATTAGTTATCTACACAGTTTAATCACTTACAAGCATAATTTTTAACCTCTAGGAAAATATTTTGAAAGTATATGTAATGAACTTTTCATAAACCTTTCAGTTTTTGAACAGAGCCCTGCACAGGATTTTAAAAATTCCTTTCAACTGATTCTCTGTTGCTTAAATTTCAAAAGAAAATGTAAACAGATGTTAATTGCTTTGAGCTAATGAATCAAAGTATAATGGTTTTGTCTATGATGATCTGAACTGCAGCCTTAGAGTGTCTTTAGAAAAACCTGAGCATCAGCCACAACAGGAGGAAACCTCCACATTCCTTTACACATCTTCATTAACCTCTGAATGAATATCATATTTTAAAAGATTATCACAGGACAAATTCTTTTCTCAGCAGTGTCTTTGTAAATCTGAATGAAATCCACTCCCTTCCGTGGAATTATTCCAGACTGATACTGGAATAACTCAGATCAGAATCAGGCCCAACAGAAAAGAAATATTTCCAGTTTTGAAAGTATTTCCCCACTGAGTGTCTGTTACTTTCCAATGTACAGTGCAATATATATGAAAAAAGCGCACTAATATAAATATCCACCGTATTGCTGATTATAAAACAAACAGTATAAACCAAGGAGATGTTATAAAAAACGGGAGAGTACCAGAAAGGAAGCTCAGTTTCCTTCACCATACATAACCCCTGCAAAAGCATCCTACGCCACGAAGGTAGTAGTGCACGTGACATTCCACACAACATCCCATCTGGATGCAGGGAGTGAAAGGCTGTGAGCTCACTGGGTTCATTTTAATCAGCACACGATCAAGGTGCAGCCACAGAAGGGAAAGGAAAAAAAAAATTAAAATAACGTGTTCTTTTCTGCAAGCACCTTTTGTGAATTCAGTCCCTGTCAGCAGGAATATTTTCCCAAGGCTCCAGAACAAGCTCCTCAACATTACCTGGCAGGGAAAACACTGAGACAACCCCCCCACACACACACACGTTCCCAGGGTGAGAACTCACTCCCTCCTCTCTCCTCACGCTGCTCTGGAATTCGGCAGTGCCTGAGCATTTCTGGTTTCCCTGACCACCAGAGTGAAAACATTTCCCGTTGCAGCACTCACAGAGAGCTCAGCTGGGACAAGGTGTGGGGACTGCTCAGCCCACCCGCTCTGTCAGCCACGGGGCCAGCGCTCGGTCCTGCTGAGGTCAGTGACAAACTCCACCTGACCTCAACTGGCACCAAGGTCCGGGCCTGGGAGCTCATCCCTCTCCAGGGCTGAGCAGCTTGTTGGAGGTCTGTGCCACACCCATTCTGGGGGGAGCCGACAGGGGTGGGCTGGGTGCACCTCAGCCTTTCCCCTCCACCTGCATTCCCACTGCAGAGCTCCAGAGGAACCCTGCGGGAAGCAATCCCTCCACAAGGCATCTTGTGGGTTACAGTGACGCGGTGCAACCGCCACTGGCAGCCCAGCACGTTTTGAGCAGATCAGTTTTTCAACCAGACATTTATGGTAAAGCTCTCTTTTCTCTTTTTCTTATTTTTTTTTTTTAAATATATTTTTGTGCTCCTGCTACCTCAGTGGTAAACTCCTCTCAGCACATACAGGGTACATCATCCATCCGTCTGTTGTTGGCAGGAATGTTTCACCACTGGCATGTGCAGGAGACCAGATACTAGTCCAGTGATATTTATTGGCAAAGACCACATTTTTGTGGTTCTTTTAAGACCACATCTGTGATTCTCTGCACGTGTTAGTGTTTGATTGCAGATGCAGAAACCATTTTGTGCAGCACTTTAACCTTTAAGTGCGCGTAAATTAAATTATATTTTAAAAGATATGGTACATAAATGGTATATAAATCCACTTCACTAGAATGCAGAATAATGAAACCTACATTATTAGACAACTAGGAAGTGGATTTGAAAATATCAGTAATTTTAAAAAAAATAGTCTTTTTCACTTAAAGCAGAACAACAAAACTCTTGTTTCCTCACATCAGTGGGACTTCACCACTGACTTTAGTTAAACTGGGATTTCAACCAAAAGGCCTGAGCAGCCCTTTGCATCCCTAATAAATGTAATATTTACCATATATTTAATTCCGTGGCAGGAGTTTAGACTAATGTAACCAGACTGTGCGTGTTTGAAAGGTTTATGAAGAAATTTTGGTAGAGCTAAGTGGTGTCAAAAATGTAGAGCAGAGTCAAAGCAATGTAAAGCTTCACGACCTTTGGGCCCACACAGTGACAGGAGACACTTCAGCTGGAAGAAATCCTCCCATCCTGGGCTGCTGAAAGATGCTGAAAAGCTCGGGTTTCACCTTCTTGCCACACCATAAATTGGCAAATGAAACAAATTTTGAAGTTCACGGACAAAAATGCACTTTTCCTGCTTGTATTTCTGTCATAGGTAGAAGAATCAGGCTTTTCCTAAACCTACCATCACTGCTCCACTATGGAATGATATATGTTCACCTCGGTCAAAGCCTTTAAAGCTACA